CATGAGGTTATTACATCAGACACAATTCAAGCAATTATACTTACGATCCTTCTTGCTCTGTTTCATCCATATAACTTTTCAAACAGGGTAGATTTATTTTATGGATAGTTTTTTTATTATTAACAGTTCAAGGTCAAAATTACTATCATAATAAATGTTAAATCTTAAATGAGTTATCAGTTGTACAGTTTCATGTCTCTGATTTCAGATTACTGAATTGCATGGACTTAAATACATGTTATCTGACCTAAGTGATAATCCCATGTACTTATGGATGTGGATAGGAAAATATTTAGTTTTTCAGTTGTAGGTGGCCCTGCTGTCACCACACATATATTTATGGTTGGTCCTTTGTTGTGAAAAGATGTTTCATTTTAAAGAACGGTTTGAAAATAGTATTAAGTTTGGTCTACGGGAAGACCTTTCTTATTAAAAACTTAAGTTCTTTAGAAAGTATGAAACTTTGTTTTTCTAGGAAGGATATGGTCAATACAACTGGGTATATATCAACTGTGAACATTTTCATGGAAGTTTTAAATTTTTTGTCTACAAATATCTTGGTTAAGCTTCCAATGATTTTCATAGAGTATCCATTATACAGTACTATTTCATGGGAGAAAAACAACCTCAGAATGTAAAATATTATGAGTTGAACAAATTTGAAATGCTCAAGACTGTAGACATGTTAGAAATAAATCATTCAAACTGGGTTAGCTGTCCTGAGAATAGTTTCTTTTGGTATATTGATGATTGATGTTGAAAAACTTTGAGCATCTCGAATAATTAGCGCATCTAGAAAGGGCAAACTAACATGTTCTGCAATCAAACAGGTAAACTTTATAGATGAATGCTGTAAGTTTAAGTACTCACGAAAAATGTTGATGATTTTTGTAATTCCTGCCAGAAAATCTATAGCTGGCATGTTAATTCATAAAGACCATTCTTCTAGACACCATTTCAATAGTTCAGAACATGATGTTAATTGTTTCTCAATAATTGTAGATAAATCATCCTATGTCAGCTGTTCTCAAACTTTAGTAACCCGAGGACTTCTTTAGGTTAAAATGTTTTCATGTATCCCAAAACCTATTGATGTTTTTTGTTGTAAAAACAAATTCCATAAACATGAGAAGCTATATTCCAAAATCATTTTATTTTATATAAATTTAATTTTATGAGAAATTTTTTTTCGTCTATAAATCCTATTTTTTAAACATTTTTATTAACTTTCTGACACGATTCATTGACCCCTGGAATATCCTCATGGACCCCAGTTTGAGAAATGATGTCACTAAAAACATTTAGAAAATTGACTAACTTATAAACAGGGATCTTTCCACCAGAAGAGATTGAATGAACAATTCTCCTTTCAGAAAAGTTAACACATTGAAATGTGTACTTTTATTTTTCCCATCACCACATAAATTCATAACACTTGTATTTATATGTTTCCTCGAACAATAAATCCTGCCATTATGTCTAATTGAAATTTTTTACATAACATGATAGTGTTATATTTTTAATATTCTACCTGCTGTTATTCTTAATCCATTAATTACTATGTCATTATTTAAATGTAAATTCTTTTGACAGCTGTTATGTAATTTACAAACTATATTTTTGTATCATTTCAAACTCAGCAGTTTGCTGTTACGTCTGAAATGCTACCTAATAAATAGATTATATTGGCTACATCTCACCTTTTCTATTTGTGTATGATGTTATTACTAAATTTGTTATAATTAATTTTTAACTGTACCTGAATATTCAGGTCTGAGCAAAAAAAAAAAGAACAACAGATTGGGGATTTTATTTTACTTAAGTATCAAGTCTGATATACTTTATCATCTGAGTTTTTTTTATTTTCACCTTAGGTCTTTATTCAATCATCTGTCATCTTCCACATGAGGGTAAAACATCCAGGCATTACCACTGTCCATCGTGTAAAAAAGTTATTGTTAGAAAGAGTAATCTCAGTGACCACATCAACAAAAACTGCAAAGGTTATGCTTCTCCTGTTATCCCTGAAAGGTCTGCTACAGTAATCAGACTAAACAGTGTTGGGTCAAGTGAGAAATGTCTTTCCAGGTACGTGGACTTTACAGATATTTGGTAAATGTAAGTCCCTTGTTCATATATATGCATATAGTTAAACATTAACAGAGTATTGTGAAGGGTAAAACAAATTTAACATGTTAGTTATTAATATTCTTAAACTCAACGTTTCCAAAGTGGTAAAAATTGCTGTTTCTATTTAGTAAACTTAAAAACTTGTTAAATGATAGAGAGAAATGCTCCTTAGGGTGAAGAGTAGCTTTTAATTCTTTGTTTAATGTTATGGTAAGCTTGGGGTGTGGTCATTAACCTCGTGTGTGGCATTTTGATGTGTAGGTTAATTCTCTTTCTAATTTAGTTTTTATATAGTTTAAAACCTTCTTTGCCTTTTGAAAGCAACACTTTAGGCTTGTTATTGTAGTATATGAAGATTGTTCAGGAAAACTGAAAGAGGTAATCAGTTCATTCTGCAAGGCACTGGTTAGACCTTGGTTGGAATATTGCATTCAGTTGCAGTCACCTTATATAAAAAATGATGTTGAGATGTTGGACACAGTTCAGAGAACATGGAATGTCTAGTCACCTCAACTGTTGCCTGTCTTGTATCTCTTGGACATCTTGCACATATAGGCTGGGTTTGCATGAGGCTTCTTCAACAGACTTTGAGTGACCAGTGGAAAATCTCTCTTGATCCTCTCTCCCCTTTTGTGATGCTACCATCTTTTCTTTACAAGGATCTGTCTTGGTAGCTGGATTGTCTAACACTATGGTCAACATCCCATTGCCCCATGGTGGGATAGCTTGCGCTTAGGTAGTTTATCACATGTATTTTATTACTTGATCTGGCTGTAGCTTAACGAAAAGCTACTGTGTGAATTACTTGTCAGTTAGAACTTTAAAATATATGTTGTAGTGTAACGAGTCAACCAACCATACATATTGTAAGTGGTGTTTGACTGTACCTCTACAAACTCATATTACAGTGTTTAATTTAAGCACATTCATAATCAGTATGATGTCACTTTTATTGTCTGTCTTAGTTCAGCCAAGGAAGAAGTGGAGTACTTGGTGCTTGTGCTGGGCTCAGATGACAAGAATGAGGATAAGGTAGAAAAGTAAATAGAATGTAGGAATATTGTTCTAAGCCAAGAAGATTTGAAAGCTGTGGCAGAAATATTGACACCTGCAGTCATGAAGGCAGTGGCAGAAATATTGACACCTGCAAGTCATGAAGGATGTGGCAGAAATATTGACACCTGCAAGTCATGAAGGATGTGGCAGAAATATTGACACCTGCAAGTCATGAAGGATGTGGCAGAAATATTGACACCTGCAAGTCATGAAGCAGTCTGGTGATTTGGAAGTTGCTTTACCAAGAATTGAGTTAGAGAACAGCCAAGTTGTGTATTATGAAACTGTGCAATAGTGCATCGATGAGAACAGGTAATTACCACAGTGCAAGACGTAAGATATTGGAGACAGCATATCACGTGTAGTATAAAACTTGGAAAAACATATTTATGTATACTTTATAAGTAGAAATGAAACACTTTTTAACCATCATTTCACATTCATGTATGAAACATATTCCTTAAGTTCATTAATTGTGGAAGAGAGGGGTGGGGAAAGGGTGCATAGTACCTTCTTTTGCTGGAGGAGTTATACCCCAGATTTGTAGTTACCACAATTTATAGCACTGTTAAAAGGTTATGACTTCCAAAATGCTTGGTGGGGAGATACTTACAAGTGAATATGAAGCTAAGGGTAACCAATAATTAATCATGTACAAACAATAACCACACAAACATAAGCAATACCTAGTCGTATCAGAGTTTCGATTGTGATGACAAAGAACCCACATTTTAGAAAATAAAGTTTGGAGATGGTTTGAATAGGTAAGGAAAGAAACTATTACAAATATATAATGTTTCGACAAGCTTTTGTGATCACCATAATTTGTAATAGGTTCTTTCATTAACCATTCAAGCCATCTCCAAACTTCAATCACCTAACCATGGTGTTTACCAATCGTACACCACTGAGTATCAGACTTATGCCAGTAGTGATACCAGAATCTCCAACTGTAACCTACAATAAGTTATAAAATACCACACATCATGTTATCAAGAGCATAACGACAACTTAAAAAAATGGTATGATATTTAATAACCATAAATAAATAAAATTACATAATGCTTAACATATATGTAAGTGTAGTTGCCATGCATTATATAAATATTTTACAATAGGATTTACTGCTTCCAAATATTCTGTAAAGTTATTAAGTGTGATACAGAAACATCTTCATTATTAATTTGGGTAACTAAGAAATAAATATACTGGTAAAGATATATTGAAAAATGAAATATAAAAAACACAACTTATTTAGATTATTTCAAATTCAAAAAAACTTTTGCCGTTTGGCAATCTTATTCATTTTATGTTGCTTCCTAATGGCACAGTGGTAAGTCTGAAGACTTATAATGCTAAAAACCAGGTTTCAATACTGGTGGTGGACACAACACGGATAGCTCATTGTGTAGCTTTGTGCTTAACTATGAAAAAAACATTTTATATTTCTATGTTTTGGTGGTGCTTAAATGAAGATTCTTTTCTCATTGACACACAAGTAGTGAAAGATTTCTCTCACATCACTAACTGTAACAACAAATTTAAGCTTCAATGGCAGTATTGAAAGCTTTTGATTATAAAATCTTTTAAAAATGGTTGTATTGAAAATTTGGTACTTGGTGCATTTTGTTTGTAAGAAATATCTTTTTAATTTAAAAGTTAAACATTAAAAAAGATTAATTCCTTTTGGTTTGAAATGTTTATTTCTTCTTTCAAAATGAGAGTGCAAAACAAGCATCTAGAACAGAGTGAATAACTTCAACTAAGCTGCAAGCTACACATGTGCTATTCAAACTCCCTCAAGACACCTGTTTGCTAGTTACAAGCCAAAAATAATGCATGTGGATAAAATTTAGCTATACAAAAAACATTTCAGGATGCAGGGGAGCCTCTGGTTGACCCCCAAATAGCCATGACCGATCTAAAAGTGCTAAGTAGGATTATACTTTTGACTTGCAGGTTTTGAACAATAAATAATGTTACTAATATGTTTGTCCATACTGTGTAGTAGACAAATTGTGTGATTTGTTGTTTTTTTTTCTGGTTTCTACAAATTTTTCACATCCCACAATTCTGATGCTGAGAAAAAATAATTGTAATATGACAACTGTTTGTTTGTATAAGCAGATTACTTATGAAGAAATATTATTTGTTAAATAACTTGCTTTACGGGTATTTCTTCATTGCCCCTTTTCAGATGTTTATAACTAATAAACGTATTAGTCCACAATGAAAATATTACTCATTCACATGTTTTAATTCCAACCTTTTTTTTTTTTTTTACTTAAAGACACATCTTTGTAATATGTTTTTCAAACTATAGTCATTCTTGCATCAGTAATTAGAAATAAACTGTTACAAGTTACTTCTGAGTCATTAGTGCTTTTTATTTCTTAAGCTATCATGACTCGTGACTCTATAAAAGTGTAAAGTATACAGTTCAGGGGTAGAAATAATGAAATTAAATTCACTCAAGGGAAAGCCATTGGGAAGATTACATTCCTTCGTGTAAAGTTATATTTCCCCATGAATTGTTTTTTATTTTATTTAATCTATGCAATATGTTCACTTTCATTGGTCATAACAAAAGAAATATGGATGGACCGTACATTCCCAACTAAAAAGATGAAATTCCTCGGGAATGTAATATTTCAATCCCTGCAGTTAATACCGTCGAGTTCAACATGCTTCCTTATAAGATGAATTTAGTTCATTTGTGGTAACTTTTAAAGATCTTGATACACAATACTTTTTTTGTTACACGTTGTCAAAAAACACCCACCAGATTTTTCTGTAATTTTATAAAATATGTAATATCTTATTTTTAAACCTACATATCTGTACAGCATGTCTGAAAATAAAATTTCTTCTGTTTACATACTTTTGAATATTAAACCTGTGACATGTTGTCATAATATTCTTTGCTTCCTGTAATGTACATTAAGTGATTTTATGAAATTCCTGTAGCCATTGTAGTGGAGGTTCAGTCTGTTGTCAGCTTTAACATAAGTTCTAAACATCTTGTGTTTTATGACTGTGATAAGTATTGGATGGCATGTTGGGTGAATGCTGATCGTACAAGTTTTACTGTTATTAATTATTCATCATTTTTGTAATGGGTTAACATTATTATGGAGAAAAGTGTTACTACAATATGAAATAAGCCAAACAAGGGTATATTTTTACAAGAAGTCAAATAAATGATGTTTTACTAAGTGTCTATAGTAAGATTGTGGGGATTGGATATCAATCTTGTCACAGTTAGTAGCCTATATTGTCACCTAAATCTAATTGTTAGTTAGTTACTTTTTTAATTCTAGATACTAATTTCTAACTTGTGTGTAATTCTCAGTTCTGCCTGCTATCTGCTACCATCTTCAGGGAAGTCCCAAGAAGGACTGTTTTCGATGATTGGCTAGGATTGATTCTAATTATTTTTCATATAAACGCTGGTGTTCCATTAGGAATGCTAAATTGTTTGTCTGGTAATACATTGAAAATGATGGATCCACCCCCACCCTGAATACAGTCTGTGTTTGGTAATTTGTTATGATGCTCAAGAATGTAAGACATGTTTTCTTTAAGATATAAAAGAAAATGGTGCACAAAAATTCAGTTTTTATTAACTTGCTACGTTTGGCATCAAATTAAAGGTTTTTATTTTCTTGGTGTTGAAATGATTGACCAAAAAATACAATTATGATTCATTATGTCCAAGATTAGAGTATAAACAAAAAATTTTTTTCTGAAATATTTCATAACTTTTAGGGGGGCAATTGCCCAGGGGAATGAAACCTGGTTATGCCATAAGGCCCGCAAAGCATCTTTAGACTATATCTTCATTTAAGGGTAAAAACCATAGTTTAACTCTGGTTAAACATTAGAACCCACTAGCTAGCCACATGTTATTATTATGGTGGTCTAAAACAAAAGATCACATCCATGGATAATGGGAAATACTTACTTGTTCTTGTTATGCTGAAACATTTCTTTCTGCTACCAACGTATATGTATTTATCAAATCTATGTTATTCATATATTGAACAAAGGTAATTATTAAGCAAAGTTAAAATAACTTCTTTTGAATGTTTTTTTGTAGTTCTTACTTGTTAACTTTTTGAAGTCATTGTCTTTGTAACACAGAAATAATGGATTTTAGTCACCATGTGCAGGACACTGATGGTTTGAAATAATTTATTGGATTTTCTCTAGTAACAGCATGATTCTTTCTTTCATCACAGGTTGTCCTTTTCCAGTCTTCTTACTTAATTTTTTAAAACGATCTTTTTTCTTCTGTTGGTACCGTTGCAAAGCTTTGTTCCTTTCAAGCTCAATTCGTTGCTGCTCTTGTTGCTGAAGTTTTTTCTCAGATTGCTTTTTCTCATACTCCTTCAAAGCTCTGTGAAAAGTAGTCCTTCCCGATTGTTTCATAGATCTATAAAAAATAACATAACTAATATATGACAGGTTGAAAATTAATGTATTTCATGTCTTCTTCACCTTAAAAAAACTCCTATTGAACAACTGCATCATTAGAATTAATCTTTACATTTTCTCACTGCCTGTAGAACTGTGAAATATTGCTGTAGAGAGTAAATAATTAAAGGAAGTACCTTGTTACCTAAAAACTTGTTTACTGTTGAATATACAGAGTATAATATCTGCGGTTAAAAGTTTTCACCAGGTACAACAACTGGAAGGAGGTTAGGTTAGTTGTTGTACGTAATGAAGCAAGGTTAACCTGGTGAAACTTTGTAAACATAAATACTATACACTGTACATCCAACAGTAAACAAGTTTTAAATTGTGGAGATAAATATTCCTATAGCATTAACTTAATATTCCCTAATTACAATCCCAGCAGCTTGGATGAAGTGCAAAATCGTGTGGAGTCAAAGAACAAGCACATCTCATCTTAAACTAAAGCTACATAGTATTGAAACCTGGTTGTCAGACCAGTATTCAAAACCTGCACCATGATGGAAATTAATGAACTTTTGAGACAAATTACTACCTAATGTAATTTAGAGTAATCCTATTATAAATTTTTACTTACTTAGAGATCCAAAGAATTTTTCTACTTGCTAATTAGTTAAAATAAGATACTTAATTTGTTAATCTTTTCCAAGATGTGATTATACTGTAAAACTCTCTATGCATACACAAACACAAGCCACATGTAACGATTCAGTTTTTATTAACTTATGTTTGGCATCAGATTAAAGGTTTTTAGTTTTCTTGGTGTTGAAATAACTGACTAACAAATTAGCGAAAAATGCAATCGTTATTCACCGTGTCCGAGATTAAAGTAACAAACAGATTTTTTTTCAGAAATATTTCATAACTTTTATTTTAAGTAAAAGTTACCATAATTGTGTTTCATTGCATCGTAATTATTATATATAGAGCTTTACCCTGAACTTAATACATATACCACACAGAAAATTGTCAGTTCTCGACCCTCAATTTGCATTAAACTCCACTTCAAATCTGTCTTATTCAACACAGGTTAAGCCAGGGAAGCTGTGACACACAGTACCTTCCTCATTATTATAACCTACAAACCTGTATCATTCCATCCCCATGTATTTAGGTTCTTGTTTCTACTTCTTTATACCACTTGGGGTCAGAGTCGGTTTATCCATTAGGCACACTGGGCCTACAAAATTTATTCAAATAGTTATATGCTGTAACAAAAAGTGTTGAAGATATGGCATAACAAAACTTTAAAATTCGTTTAGGAAGAGATACATCCACACCAATATAGCTTAGTATGTATAGCACATATGTGATGAACGATATACGAGTGCCTAGGACCTACGAATCCAGCCCTATAGAATACTGTAGAAGCAGTCTGAAATACAATATAAACCAATAAGCACACTCACTTCTCACTGTTTATTGTGTACTCAAGTAGATTATATTAATGCCGATTCCTTTACACATATCACTTCAAGGTTGAACATGAGGATACAACCACTATCCAAAGGCTGGGAAAAGAAAGCAGATATGGTGTTGATCAGGTTGAAGAAAGCTGTTTGAGCCAGAATCTGACGATGAAGCAAAGAGGTGGTTAAGATACTGATCATACGACTTAAATTCCACAAATTATGTAATGGTGTTGTAAAGAAAATTGTTTTTCAAGTATTGGGGGGATTTTCGTCCTCAGTTGTCTATATATATATATATATATAGCCAGTTCAATACAATATTATTGCTTTTAGGCAGGAGTGCAAATGCCAGGTGATATTAAGTGGAGTTGTATATGTAGAATTAAGATTTTGTACAGGATTGTCTCTTGACAAATTAAAACTTCAAGTACCACACAGCTAAAAATTTTAAATATTACTGTAAAGCTTTCCCTCCTTTCTTGTCAATGTACGCGCACGCACATTCAAACTGTAAATCAAGATATACACTTACCCATGACTATTCTCATTTTTGCAGTCACTGGTTTGGTAGTTCGTTGTCGGTTGCTTGTGTTGTTCTTTCCGAAGTAGTTTTTTATACTCATGAATTATTTTTTTCTTTTTGGGATCATTAAAACTGGACCCTTGAATGTAGAAAAAAAGTTATTAGAGGTAAACCATAAAATCAGGAGCAAGAAACGAGTCACTGATGGAAATATTTTGTATGCTGCTGCTAGCACTACAGTGGATTCGGTTGAGTGATGGAAAAGTTTTTTTTTTTTATAACTTTAATATACTAGACACAGTTTTAACTAAACATATTAGGTAGCCTAGATTATACCATACATATTTTCTAATACAAAAGAAAACAAAATGGTGGTCTAATGAAAAAATTCCTTATTTTACCTCACCCAGTTTTGTTCTAATAATAACTATCCAAGTGAATTTGAAATTGAACTTTTAGAGGTTTCTACTTTCTGAAAGTGGCATTATTTCAGTTTCTTCTCACCCAAATGTACAGCACATGAATATTTTTGTCCAAACATTGCACAGCCTGGCTGCCAACACTAGTTGTTCTAACACCAACTAGACTACTTTACCAGGATTCAATCAGTCAACCCTTGTCCTGATCATTATATAATTTATCATTTATTTATGTAACTAAAGTAGAGGTGTTTTAATTGCATAACTTAAATTGTCCTCTGTAAGTGTTTTAACTGCATAACTTAAATTGTCCCCTGTAGGCATTTCAACTGCATAACTTAAACTGTCCTCTGTGGGCATTTTAACTGCATAACTTAAACTGTCCTCTCTGTAGGTGTTTTAACCTCATAACTTGAACTGTCCTCTCTGTAGGTGTTTTAACCTCATAACTTAAACTGTCCTCTCTGTAGGTGTTTTAACTAATGTGAGTTTCATCAATGTTCCAGTAATATTAAGAAATTCCATTTTTCCAAAGTTGTCAAATTCATATACAAAATGTGAAATGGAATATCTTATAGGCCAAATGATGAGAAACACTCTTACAAAAAAACTAACAAAATTCTGTGTGCATGCCCTCCTTCCCTACCAATTCCAAGAAAATAACCATCAGTACTTTGGTTTACCTCTTATGCATTGCATAAGTAGAAATCAGTTTTTAATCTTCTAACAAGTGGATAATATGCTAAGGAAAAGAAATATCCATAAGGTAACTAGAGCTGGGCAATTAGTAGAACTTGCTAATCAATTAATACATTGTTCCTCAAACCATGGTCAGCAGTTCAAAAAGAAATCTAAGATAAAATTCAAGAACTCAAACTTAAGGTTCAGCAATCTGAAACTATGGTTAGAATCAGAGCACCACTTTAGAAAGAGGATAATAATTACTTTGAAAATAAACTTTCATTTCAATGTACCAAAAAGGAATATTGAGCATTTAACACAGTTGTTTGAAAAAATTAGCAAAAAAGGTCAACATTATACATTGCTTCTTCATTTGAGTGACAACTGTACTGTTTGGAATGCATCACAATATTGGGTAGAATAAAATACTTGTCTCTGATTGGCTGAGAGATCAGGAATTTCAAATGTAGTTATGGTACTGACAGCCTATGATTATGCAATGTGAACACATACAACATTCTGCCTGCACATGCCATTAATACATGGAAATAAGCCATTGTTATACTACAAAATTAAATATTCTTAATTCGGACTTGCTCTTAACCTTAAAGTAACATTAGAAATTCAAATAAGTCTTCTGAAGCTGTTATTGGTCTGTCTGAAGTAGAAGCACCAAAGAGTCAGTTATTGTTGGTCCCTGAACCCTTCCATCCCTGGAATCATCCAATATCTCTCTTCTGAACCCTTTACAATAAGTTAATATCCTTTCTTAGATAGTGATACCCAAACTGTTCACAGTATTCCAAGTGAGGCCTAACTAATGATTTGTATGTAGAGGTATCTATCTCTCATTAAATATGTAAGTACATCTTAAAACCCAATTAGCTTTACTAATAGCAACAGAGCATTGCTTCAATAGCTGGAGTGATTTATCCATCACTATGCTAAAATCCTTTTCTTTCAGTCATGCTACTGATTAGGTTTCCATCTATATTAAACATGTGATTCTAATTATGGAACCCCAAAATCATTTCCTTGCACTTACTATAATTAAAAGTATTTGTCCAACTTATTGATGTTGACGTCATCCTCAATACAGTTCGAAATCTTCGGTTATTACTAATTATAAAATATATTTGTGATGATTTAAAAACATTGTATGGTCAAATACGACAATAAATATACATTACACACATTCTTTAATATATATACAAGTTACCAAACTCAAGCTATAATTACTTTATTTATCTGACACGCAATAACTAAATATAAACTACACTACATATCATATTTAGATATTAAAAAATATATCCTCTGGCATCATAAGGCATAATTGTATTATTCTATTAGCTTGACAAATCAAAGCAAATATGTTGCAAAAGCCAATAATCTTACTTTTCTGAAATTCCATAACATGACACAAATGTATAAATTCCAATTTTAACACTTCTTTTAAATTTTCTACCACATTTACCCATTTATTTTGTAAAATTTTTGTACTTTCAGTTAGCTAAAGTGAACTAAATTTTAAACCAAATTGTATAAATTCATTTAAAATATTAACATGTTATTTTTCTGCAGTTTCAAATGGAGCCTTTCAACAGATATAAACATCATTATATTTTTTATGAATAATATGAATTAATGGGACATTTTTTTGGAAATCATAATCTCAAGATGAAAATAATGATTATTGAGACAACATACGTGATAACACCACATATTTAACTTACTACACACATTTTTCAAAACATGTTATTTATGTGTCTGAGGTTACATAATGGTGATATTTGTTGAAATGAGTAAGTACTGACTTAGTATTTGAAATTAAAATTTAGATATTTTTTTAAAGGAAACCAAAAATGTACTTTATACAGCAAAACTTTCACTTAAAAAATTTAATAATCAAGATTTTTATTGTGCTGGTAAGCAAGAGAAAAGAGGAACTTTCTCCTACTTGAAAAACAGAATGTAGCTACCATTTTCAACATAAATCTAGCATCTTTACACATGCTCAGTATAACAAACATGTGCAACACTTAGCCCAGTATCTCTTACAAGTTGCATCAGTCTTACACAATGACCTAAAGCGTACTGGCCAAAGACTGAAAATAGTAAATAACATTGGACTAGTTTTCTACATTGTCATTTGAACATCACAGTACTAGTACTGAGAATAAGATTTTTACATTAGATTTTGAAGAAACTGCTATAAAAACAGCAACATAACCATTAAAACTGATTTTAAATTTTTATTCTATAATTTTTTGTTTTATAATGTTTACACAAAACCACACATGGGCTATCCTCATTAAGCCATTCCTAATTTTGAACTGTAAAACTAGAGAGAAGGCAGTTATATATCAACAAAATACATTATCAACTCTTAGATTACTTGTCCAACTAAACAGATGGATTTAACCATCACTGTTATAGCATAGCCCATGGTCCCAAAATTAGGCAAAGTAATGTGTATCATGAACCCTCAGATTCAGTCTGTGCATGTTAACCACTGAACTACACTCAGCCCTTACACTACAATAAGGCAAATTCTTCAACATAAAAGTTTACAGCTATAGTATAAGCTGTATGTTGTAAAAAATAAATGAAATGATTTATTTTTTAGTGTTTCATATTACCCATCCCCATTATCGTTTCTGTACTTTGGACTTTAGGTAAACCTTAACAGACTTACAATTTACATTAACTTTCAAAATTCAATATAGATACATGATACATTAAAGTATTACTCGTAAAATTAAAGCATGAAGGAATGACGGTATATAAGATTTAAGAAAAAATTAATTAAGATCAAAATCAAGAGCCACATGTATGAGAATTTTGCACTAGTATTTAGTTAATAATATTACTAAATTAATACTAGTAGTATTATACGAGAACAGTAACTTAAAATTCTACACTAACCACCGTGAAGACGACGATCTCTATTTTCAGGTGGTCTTTTATGGTATTTTTTCGATCTTTCTTGGTTAATTCTTCTGTTCGCCATTGACAGATGTTACACTTACAGAACTAACCAAGAAACCCTACTACGAAAATTAACCCTAGTGGCGAATTTAGATGAAGCAGTTACGCCATCTAAAAATAAAAATAATAACACACACACACACATATATATATATATATATATATATTAACCAATTATAACTCATATCATTTGATTTCTCTCTTTTTAAGTTATATTGGAGGACAATGTGAACATTTCGAAATATTAAAATCGTAAATAAACATTCCGCTTATTTTAACACGTTAAAATAATCTTTTAACTTAATGTTCATTATTTAACAAAATGAGTGCAGTTGTTCAAATTTACGAACGTTTCAATATCACACGATTATAATCTTCTCTTTTATTATATTTCTTCCTATTCAAGTACCTTTATGTAATCATTTCAGTAAGACAAGTCCATTCTCAACTGAATGATTTTTAGTTGTTAATATTGTTAAGAGTTAACGATTATATTATAGAAGTATTTTCTTTTCACCAAAAGCTTTTGTTTGTTTAAAGTTAAGCAAAAAGCAACTCAATGGGATATCTATGCTCTACCCACCACGGGTATCGAAACCCGGTTTCTAGCGTTGCAAGTCCGCAGACATACCGCTGTGCCACTGGGTGATTTCACCAAAAGTAAAATTGAAAATATAATATGTGACGTAGAGGCCCAATACATTATTTGATTTGCCGCATTCTCCCCTATCGACAGCAGTTTCGTCTATTCAAGGCCAAAAAACAATAAAAATAATATTGTCACTTCTCTTTTCGTTTGTTAATTTCCCATAAAATTTCTTTCCGAGAAACTTCGGCGATACGAGTTCTTTTTTAATTAAAACTAGTTTATTATTTCTCAATACAACTTTGCAATACACTTAATTTCCACAGTCACTTTAACTTAAACACACGCTATAATTCACAACGATTCACGCACTTTACTTACAGTCACTACCGCTCACTTGACTCGATTATCTGTCTCTATATCTCCCTATCTGCAATTATCTATGTCGTCACTTCTTGCCGGTCTTATATATACAAAATAGAGGGCGTCTGGCAAAGACTCGAGCCTTCAGGAACCTTCTAGATACTCATTACGTGTTACCAGGGTCACGTGACTTCCGCTGTCGTAACAATATTTTAAGCAATAACAGTGACAAAAGTCAACACATTAAATGTGTCTGTACTTATCACGGTAGTACTGTAACAATACTTGAATTCAAACTATATTTTCTCAAGAAATATACTGTTACATCTCCGTTTGTTAATTGATTTTCCGTAAATTCGTTCCGACGAAACTTTAGCGACACAAGTCCTTTCTTAAATAAAACTGA